TCACTCATTGAACAGTGATTCATTTGGTATCTACTTGGTAGCAGGTACAGTTCTAGGAAATGAAACAGAAAAAAATTCCTGCCCTATGGGATGTACATTCTACTCTAAAAGCAGTAAGTGCCAATAACAGGAAAATTGAAGAGAAATGTATAAAAGACCAGGAAACTATAATCTGCTTGGTATTTTTGCTTTCCAAATTATTTTTACATAATTGAGGAATCTAAAAATGATTTTATATGTTGCCTTTCTGTTTACAATATCACATTCATTAAAAAAAATCTCTTGTAAGCATCATTTTAATTGGTCCATAATATTCCACTATATGGGTACCAAAATCAACTCACTCACTCCTTTGTTTACTATTTTGCATACTCAGAGAAAAAGAAAAAGCAACCTCTCTAAAGACATTGAAGGAACAATCTTGAGTATGGACTGCTGTAGTAAGAGAAAGCAGATGACCTTCATAATACCTCATGACTCAATTAATTAAGAGAAATGCCTCAAATTAATTTACAGGGAATTTAAGGCCCATATCCTTAGTTATGAATTAGTAATAAAAAAATTACATCTAATAAGTGGAGCTCAAATGCAATTAAATAAAAAACTTGTATTTTGAAATTTTTTAAATTAATATTATGGCAGTTGGTAAATTTCCAGAAATGTTACTGTAAGCTATTTACAAAATCAAGAGCATATAATCAATGTATTACACTCAACTCTTCCATCTCCAACAATAAGCCCTCGTTTAATCTGTTTTGTGGGCAGAATAGAGAAGGTACTTTCTAACAACTTCTGGTAACTAATTAAAGGAGATGGACATCCCTTCCTACAGACTGTTAATAATTAGTTTCCATAAGTATTTCAGACCACTGGTATTCAGTTAGTTTACTAACTTTGGGACATCATAACATCTGTCTTTACTTTGTGTAAACCCTACCAGTGAAGCATTTTAAAGTACAAATCCTAACTGTATGTCCTCCAAAGAGGTTTAAAGAAACCCGTATCAACGCTGGCTAGGAAAGAAGGGCCAACAACTCCAGCATCAACAAAGAGAGTCAGGAAATTTTTCACACTCAAGTTTAGAGTCCTGGGCTACATTCAATAGTGTTTATTTCAGATAAGCTATGGATCAACTAAATAAACTGATACGCAAATTGGCCTTAAAGAAAGGTCAGACATTTACTGCCACTGATTTCCAACCTCCATATATTTTCATTTCCTCTACTCACTTTATTTTTCCTTAAACTCTTCCATCTTTCCATTTTGGGGCCATTTGGGAGGTGCTAACTTATTAAAAAAATAAGGCAATAGAGATTTTTGGTTTTCATGTTGGGATGAAAACAAAGGAATATAGGATGGCAACACTGTACTGGTAAAATTGCTCAGGCTGTGGCACTAGATATCCCTAGGTTTGAATCCTAATTCTGCTACTTTCCACTCCCAGGAGCTCTATATATCACTCTATCACTCTGAGCTCCAGTTTCTTTATCAGTGAAATGGAGATAATACCACCTCTGTGAGATATATAATAGCTGTTGTGAATCACAGCAGACAACAACAAAAACTAATCAAGAAGAGTCTGAATCAGGATTTTGGCCAAGAGAGAGAAGGCACTGGCAGATGCCAAAAAATCAGAACAGTTAAGAGGTCACTTTCTAGTTGAGTAAATATGGATGAAAGGATTAGCAGTGGATTTCAACTGGGGTCAAAAGAGATTACAAGGGGTGCAAAAAAATATTTGTGGGTGATGGATACTATATTGATTGTGGTGATGGTTCCATGAGTGCATACATATGTCAAGATTTATCAGATTGAACACTTTAAACGTGCAGTGCACTGCATGTCATTATATCTTAATAAAGCTGTTTAAAAAATAAATATTCCATCAAGGCCTGATAATATCATTGCAAATAAATGAAGTATGCAATGTTTACACTAAGGATCCACTGTCAAGAGAATTTATCTTGAAATTATTTTTCTATTTATATACTGCTTGATTTATTAATACTAATAATTTATTAAAGACTTTTCTGTCTAGGGTCATGTGGGACATCGGTCTATAGTTTTCTTTCCTTATAATCTTTTTCTCTGGTTTAGTATCAAAATTATGCTCATCTCCTATGATGAGTTGAAGAGTTCCCTTCTTTTCCATTTTTTGAAAGAGTTTGGTTAAAATTGGTATTATTTCTTCCTTAAATGTTTAATAGAATTCACCAGTGAAATGATCCAAGCCTGGAATTTTCTTTTTGGGAAGGTTTTTAATTATCAATTAATTTTCTTTAATACATCTTGGGTTATTTAGATTTTCTATGTCTTTTTGAATCAGTTTCAGTAATTTGTGTCTTTCAAAGAATTTGTCTATTTCATTAAAAACACCAAATTTACTGGTTTAAAGTTGTTCATCATATTCTCTTGTTATCCTTTTAATGTGTACAGCATCTATAGTGATGTCCTGGTAGATCATTCCTAATCTTGGTAATTTGTATCTTCTCTCTTTTCTTCCAGTTTTTTAATTTGTAGCTTCTTAAGGTGAAAGTTTAGATCACCAATTTCAGAACTTTCCTCTAATATAAGTATTAAAAAAGTACAGCTGACCCCTGAACAGCATGGGTTTGAAATGCGTAGGTCCACTTATACACAGATTTTCTTCTGCCTCTGCCAACCCTCAGACAAGACCAACCCCTCCTTTTCCTCAGTCTGCTCAACATGAAGACAAGAATGAAGACCTCTGTGATGAATCCATTTCCACTTAATGAACAGTAAATCTATTTTCTCTTCCTTATGATTTTCTTAACATTTTCTTTTCTCTAGCTTATTGTATTTTAAGAATATAGTATGTAATACATATAACATACAAAAAATATGTGTTATCGACTTTATGTTATGGGTAAGACTTTTCTGGTCAACAGTAGGCTATTAGTTAAGTTTTGGAGGAGTTAAAAATTATATGCAAATTTTAGACTGTGGGAGTTTTGGTGCCCCTAATCCCCACATTGTTCAAGGGTCAACTATATAGTTCCCTTTAAATGCTGCTTTAACTACATCCCACAAATAACGACATACTGTATTTTCATTTCATTCCATTCAAAATAGTTGCTAATTTCTTGTGATTTCTTCTTTGACCAAAGCCTTATTTAGATATGTTGTTTATATTTCCAAATACTTGGGAATTTTCCAAACCTCTATTATTGATTTCCAATTAAATTTTATTGTGGTCAGACAACAAACTCTGTATAGTTTAAATCCTTGTTTTTTTTTGCATTCATGTTTTATTTTTTATATATTTTGCTTAATGACCACTTACGTTTTCTCTTTTCTTTATTTTCCCTTGCATTTCTTTTTTGTTTTTTATAATTTTTATTTCAAAATATTAGGTGGTAAAAATGTTCTTGTTATATGGGTGAATTGTATAATGCTGAAGTCAGAACTTTCAGTGTGCCTGTCA